CTAAGTAAGGGTAAGGGGAGACATACTAACCTCTCTAGGACAGAGGCTGTGGTTAGAATTGTGTTCCGAAATTAACAATGCCTTGATACTTTTTACAGAACCATGTACAGTTCAACTTAAAATATAAAATCAAATGAAAGCATAGATTTTTTTTTGTTTATCAAAAGAGTCCATAAACATAGAGAAACAAGGCTGTACATGCGAGGATCACTTGAGGCCAGGAGTTCGAGACTAGTATGGGTAACATAGGGAGATCCCATCTCTACCAAAAAAATGAAAATTAAAAAATTAGCCAGATGTGGTGGCATGTATCGGTAGTTCCTGCTACTGTAGAGGCGGAGGTGGGAGGGTCACGTGAGCCCAAGAGTTTGAAACTGCAGTGAGCTATGATCATGCCACCGTACTCCAACCTGGGTAACAGAGCAAGACCCTGTCTTTTCAAAAAAAAAAAAAAAAGATTGAGAAGCCCTGCTTTTAGTACCAGCTAAACAATCTGCTTTTCTAATAACACAGAGATTTTCTTTTTATTTCCATTTCCTTTTTAGGATGCAGCACCTATTCTTTTTTATGTTGTTAAAGAGATGAGTTCATTAAAAAGAAAAACAAAAAACAGGGACACCCACAACTCCAATTCTACCTCCCCTCTCCCAAATTGTTCAAGATGCACACATATTTATTGTCTATCAGTGTACCTAGCTCTTTCCATGTTTTTATTAGAGGTTGACACCAAACCACCAGGTAGATATTTTTCCTTTGATTTAATTTCAAATTCCATTACAACAAAGCAACCAAAAATATTAGCATCTAGTTTTAGCTTCTAGGGAATTTGGATCTCCAGGTAAGAAGTAAAAATAGAGAAAAGATGGTAGCCGGGCTCGGCGGCTCAGCCTGTAATCCCGCGCCTTGGGAGGCTGAGCTGAGTGGATTGACTGAGCCCGTGGGTTCGAGACCTGCCCGGGCAACTTGGAGAGACCTCATCTCTACCATAAATCAAAAAATTAGCCAGGCATGGTAGCATGTGCCTGTAGTTCCAGCTACTTGGAAGACTGAGGCGGAAGGATTGACGGAGCCCAGCAGGTCGAGGCTGTGGTGGCCGGGAGTGTGCCACTGCACTCCAGTCTGGGTGATGACAGAGTGAGACTCCAACTCAAGAAAAAAAAAAAGAAAAGATGGTCTTGCCATCTTCATTCAGAAAGTCATTATTTTCAGCAAAATGAAGCAGAGGCAGAAAATCCGGGTTGCTGGACTGGGAAAAAGAAGTATCTGCCACATGGGACACTTATAAATTGACCACTATGACAGCAGCCCTTTCTGTCAGCAGAGTTAATGTCATTAGGTTGTGATAATTCTCCACAAACCTCAGCAGCCCTGGATTAAGAACATCTTAAAATTGTTCAGATGACACACATTTCTGTTTCCTGCTGTATGGCTCCCATGATGCCTCTCTGCAGCATCTGCCACCATTTTTTTTTCTTTTCAAACTTCGTCTTTTCAAATCAGGAAGTGTACATAAAGTGCAAGTAAGATTCATTTCCTCTCCTGCGCGCCTAGGCTCTTGTCTTGATAACCAGTATTACCAAATCTGTCAGTTAAGCCACTGGCCAACTAGGTTGTCTGCAGGAATTTCTGCAGTTAGCAAATAAGTTCATCTGGCAAAGAGAGTATTGGAAGGTTAAAGCAGTCTTGGCAAAAAAACACAAAGTATCACATACAAGACAGGGATGTGAAAGATGCAAGCAGGAGGGGGTGTTTGTGTCACTGAAGGGGTCATTTTGAATCTCTTTTTTTTTTTTTTCCCCCAAACTGATTTATTGGGAGAGAAAACACCAAGAGGCTAATTTCTGGAGCCTCCTGGTCTTCAGACCTCAGAAAACGGAGCCCTTAGGCCAATGATCTATTAGGAAAGGACATGAACATGGTTTTGTGGCCAGACTGAGTGGCAGGTCCTGTGTCCATGTTTCTAGGCTGAAGCTTGGCCTGTGGACTCATGGGCAAGGTCTGCAGGCCCCACAGTGTCTTCAGAGTTGTCCTCATGGGGCAGTTCCGTGTACTTGGGGGTGGAGCCACAGGACAGGTAGACTGCATAGTGTCACCTGTTAATGTCCATTTTGGCGAGCACTGCTTGCGACAGATCCATATGGCAGTGGGCTGCTAATGCCACCATGTAAATGAGGACATCACTAAGCTCCTCTTGAAGAGCCACCTGTTCCTTGGGGGCCCAAGCTTGGGAGCCAGGCTCATCAGTTTTCTGCTGAAAGAGTTCTGCCAGCTCCCCCACTTCCCCCACCAAGGCCAGGAGGAGGTTCTGATGGAACCTCCCAGCTGATGGAACTCATCCCAGTCTCGTTCAGCAGCAAACTCAGCCTGAAGGCGTCAAATATCCTCGAGTGTGGACTCTGGGCTGAAGGTGAACCCTCCAGCAACAGCAGTGTCCTCTGCCTCCAGGTCCCCATGCGTCTCTCCATCGACCACAGACATGCCGCCTCCTCTGCTGCAGCCGCACGTTCTGTATCTCAATTCTTAAAGAGAATTCAGCAACTGTCACTAAAATGAACAAGGTTAGCAGATTTCGGAGCACAGTCAGTCTTCAATGTGAGCAGATTCAGTTTTCCTAACTAAATTCCTGAATTTATTTTTGGCTTCTGCCCTTTCTTCAGCATCAAAGTATCAAACAGTCATAGTGCTTCTGGTTGTGTAGGAAGGCTGCACTTTGTGTGGGTTCCTGTGATCTGACCAGAAGAATAGGAGTCTGTCAGAAATGGGCTCCACATCTGCTGTGAATGGTTTCCTCTCTGGAAATGCCCGCAGGATCCCGCTGTGTAGCTTGGCACCCCAATTCTTGTTCAGATAGCAGATGAAGATACAGTGGCCATCACCGTTGCAGTTGTCCCCATGGCGAACATAACCTGTTCCATTTGTGGGGTAGCAATCCTCCATTGCCTCGGACTTCTCCTTGATTTAGTATTTGATGACTCACAGCCCTTCTCGTTGCACCCAATCCATGTGATGTGGTCACCCTGCAGGTGCCGCTTGGAGATGCCAGTGATCGGCCCGGCCAGGTGGCCGTCCCGCAGGGCCCTGTTGCATTTCAGTTGCTTGACGCACTCCAGGACACAGTTGTCCACCACCTCGCCCAGGAAGCTGTCTAGGTAGCAGAAGCTGACTTCATGCAGACAGGGCACAAGGTACTCCAGGGCAATTTTCTCTAGATCCAGCCTCATGATGTATCCCAGGGGCACGTCGCTCACAGCACCAAAGTCAGGGACCCCCAGTGTACACCCAGAGAGGGGGAGGGATTGACCTACACGAGCACGAATCCCAGGTGCGGGGAGCGTGACTCAGGGCTCAACCTTGCAGGTGGCCACGGCCCCCTAGCCATCACAGTGCTGGGGACAAGGGAGAGTTGCTTGTGACTCTAGGGAGAAGGGGTTCACATTTGGGGACCAGGGGGAACTGTGTGGGCTCCATGACCTAGCACCAGACTGGCCCGGCAGTGAGTCGTATCTTCCTTTTGGATATATGAGGTCACATGGCAGCCAGATGTGGGGAGAGGGTGAACTGTTGAAAGCAAATATTACCAGGTCTTTTTCTCTACTAGTAATTTTAAAGAAGGATCTTTAAACTTATTAAATTTAATTAGTTAATTTAATTTTGTAGAGACAAGGTCTTGCTGTGTTACTAGGCTGGCCTTAAACTCCTGGACTTAAGCAGTCATCCTCCTGCCTCAGCCTCCTAAAGTGCTGGGATTGTAGGTATGAGCCACTGTGCCCAGCCTCTTAAACTTACTTTATTTTGTCTATTGAGGCATTTTATTTGTACATATGTATTACTTCCATAGAAATGGAATCCCAACATCAATAAGGGTACCTGATCTAAAACCAGACGAAGTAGGGACCAAAGGGAGGCCCAAACTTTACCTGTATGATGACCATGTATGTACCTAATTCTGAATTATGCCCCATATCTTTAAAATAAAAAGAAGAAAAAAAAAAGAAAAGGAAACCCAGAATTTTCCCTCCTGTGTGTTTCCATATTACGTCTTTGTGGTCCCTGATGCCAACTTAGGTTGTCAGTACAATGAAACCAAACTGATGGGTGGGAGCAGATTATTCTGCCACTTTCCTAGATCTTTGGGTTGCACATCTACTCTGGGACTGATCACGCCACACTTGTTTAACCTGCCTGTGAGGTTCATGACAATTTTACTACGTCTGTGATCACCAGTGACTTCAAATTCTCCAATGTAACCATCACAGTGCTTCATCATCACAGTTAGAAACTGGATGATGACTTTGGAGCATGGCCTGATAAGAACCTGGCATTTGCCTCTCTTTTTGTCATTGTTGATGCTCTTGAGAGCATCAGCCAGGACATTCATGCACACCATGATAGGGTCACGGCAAGATGGCGGAAAGAACTTAACCTTATTTTTATTATCTATCTATCTATCTGTCTGTCTATTATCGATCTATATATCTCATCTTTTTTGTTGTTGTTGGAGTATCACTCTGTTGTCCAGGCTGGAGCAGTGGCACGCTCATGATCACTGCAGCCTCGACCTGCTGAGCTCAAGTGATCCTTCTGTCTCAGCCTTCCAAGTAGCTGGAACTATAGGTGTGCACCACCATGCCTGGCTAATGTTTTGGTTTATTGCAAAAACGAGGTCTCACCAAGTTACCCAGGCTGGTCTTGAACCCTTCGGTTCAGGCACTCTTGCTTCTGCCTCCCAAAGTGCTGGGATTACAGGCGTGAGCCACCTGCTCGGCAAACTTATTTTTAAAAAAACATTTGTGGGCAGGGGTGGGATTGGCAGTAGTGGGAATCTGCCGGGGGAGGGGGGACACATCTCATCAACAAGGGTACGTGCATAATAAACATTTGAATTTCTAACCCTGAATTGTATTTTAGAAAAAATACATCTTTCTAACTTTTTCTCAAGCTTGAGATTGAATCTTGATTTTTGTTGTAAATCAGTTATGATTTTACGTTACTCTTCACAGGTGGAAAAGAGACAGCAGTGGAAATAAAATCTTGCACCCTGTTTCTGGGAAACACATCTTACAGTTTGTTGCAATAAAAAGGAAAGACTGTGGAGAATGGGCAATCCCAGGGGTGAGCTTTGCAATTACATCGATTCTAAGTTCTTTTTAGTTGCTTTACTTGCTACAAGGTTGCTGTTTGTGGGTGTTTTCTACTCCATTTATCCTTGTTCCTTCCTACCTCAGTTGGTAATTCCTCCTACATGACTGTCATCGTCAGCAACAAGTCTAGGATAATTCAGGACTGTTAGAATCTAATTCTTACACTCTGGGACAAAACATAAACTTTGGAGTTAGATCTAGACCTGTGTTCTCACCTTCAGCTTGCAGCTGGGTGAGGCAGAGTTCAGGCCTTCCTCCTTAACATAAAGATGGCCACCTCGCAGGATCACTAGAGAGAGCATGTAAGCACCTGGCATGTAGGAGGCACTCATTAGCATTGGGTCTCATCTCAGAAACTCAGCCCCTTCTGAGACCAAGTAACATTTTTAGTAGTTTTTTTTGTTGAATTTTGATAACTTTAGACATAATAAAAAAATAGCTTTCGTTGTTTACTGTTCCTTGTGATTTTAAAAATTTCTATTATGTTATCAAAGAGTATACTTTTTTTGGCCTGTGGTTTGAATTTATGCCAGTGGCATATTCGAAGTGGCGTTCAGAATGTGTGTGATTGTGGTAGAGGGCTTTCTATTTTATGCCGTATTGTGAAATGGAGATAGTTTGATTTCAGGATGACTCTTTATACACATACTGCTATCTGCAAGAATGTTGTTTTCTTTGTAGAATAAAAATGGAATGGAAATAAAGATCTTAGCTGACTGTAAGAAAAGCTTCGGCTAATTTTGGTGAGCTAAACAGTCAGATTTCACTCATGCTGAGTGTAGTAACATAATAATGACTTCATCATAAGATCTTGTATTTATATTTTTTTATTGTTATTTGAAATTCTTTTTTTTTTTTTTTTTTTTTTTTTTTGAGTTGGAGTCTCACTCTGTCTCCCAGGCTAGAGTGCAGTGGCACACTCATGGCTACTGCAGCCTTGACTTACTGAGCTCAGGCAATCCTTCCATCTCACTGGAACAACAGGCGCATGCCACCATGCCCAACTTACATTTTTTGATTTATTGTAGAGATGAGGTCTTGCCAAGTGGCTCAGGCTCATCTCGAACCCCTGGGCTCAGGCAGTCCTCTTGCCTCACCCTCCCAAAGTCCTGGGATTACAGACATGAGCTACCATGCTCGGCCTTGAAATTCTTGACATTTAGCAAACTGTTGTGATTGACATTATTTTGAGAGTTATTTGTCTCCTCTGTGTATTTGGAGTAGCTTCCTTTTGTTAGCTGATGTTTTAGACATTGAGGAAACAGAGCGACATAAACAAACATCCCTGTCTATGGTGCTCACATTTCAGTGAAAGAGGCAGATGATATAAGATAAATAAGGTAGCTATATTGGATGTCAGAAGGGCTAATAAGTATTAGGAAAAAATCGAAAGTGAGATGGGGGCAAGGAATGTTTGAGAGTTTGCAGTTCTAGATAGGGAGGCTGGGAAGGCCTCCCTGAGAGGACATTCAAGTACAGATCTGAAGGTGGTGAATGAGTGAGCTGTGTGGGTCTCTGGGGAGGCATCAGCAGGTGCAAAGGCCAACAGGTGGAGATGTCTGGCATGTCCTGTGAACCATGAGTGAGGTCCATGTGGCTGGAATGGAACAAACAATGGGGAAGAGCCCATTTGCTGTATTCTTTCTTGCCTTCAGGCTTTCTTTCCTCAGTTTGAGTTTGAAAAGTACCAGGAAATGAGTTGGATTGGCTTAGTTTGCTGTAGGCTAGCCTTGGCCAATCACTGAGGCCCATATATGAGGTATCCTAATGGCTGCTTTTACTAGAAACAGATGGTTTAAGAAGAGCTTGTCATTAGAGGAATGGGGGTTACTGTTACGGGCAGAGTGAAGAATAAATGTCCACTGTACCAGTCAATAAATAATTGTTGAGTGAATCAAAGCTTATCACTTTTTTTTATGTGACTCTTAGGGGATGGTAGATCCGGGAGAGAAGATTAGTGCCACCCTGAAAAGAGAATTTGGTGAGGAAGCCCTAAACTCCCTACAGAAATCTGGTGCTGAAAAGAGAGAAATAGAGGAGCAGTTGCACAAACTCTTTAGCCAAGAGCATCTAGTGGTAAGAAGTGGTGTTTCCTAGAAGGAATATAGTCCTGTGGATTAATGAAAATGACCTGGGCAAACCCCTCGGGTCCCCTCCCATGTGGGAGCTTTCCTGTCCTCTCAATAAATCCTGCTTTAAAAAAAAGAAAAAAGAAAATGACTTAAAGTTGACCTGAAAATATTGTAAATCCTTCTCTAAGTAAAGTAGAATACTGGCATATTTGAAATAAATTCATACAAACAAATTATAGATCTTCACTATAAATAGATTCCTTCCTCCCTCCCTCCCTCCCTCCCTCCCTTCCCCCC